CGGGATCGGGTGGTCAGGCTCGCTGACTTGGTTGATGCATGTCATTGATCCCAATTATGTGGATCGATGGTCATGATATCAATCACTGGATTGTCTGGTCGACACTCGATTATTTACAGACTGCCGTCATACAGCTGGAATATTGCTGAGTGCGCCGTTAAACAACAAACCAATGATCTCACACTCGGGTCACATTTTCTATATCAACAAACTCCTGTCATCAACTAGGCTGTGTCCACTCCACAAGTGTGTTTGACAAGTCCTCCTAAAATCCCACATGGACATGTTCCCCATCAGTCACCCTTGTCTCAAATTACACACTATGTTCATTAAACTTGTCCGGATCAAACTGTAACGCCGGTTCTCTTGTCATTCCTGGTTTCGACTGTCTCATATCTGGGACATTCATTCCGACACTGTGACAGCAATCGCACTTTTCTAAAGTTTACCTACTTTTCGTTTACCTACTTTTCCTCTAACAAACATGACTTCTGTACATTCCGTCTATGTCATTCTTATAGGTTTTGGCATTTTTGTCGAATGACATGAACAAATTGACAGGTTTTCCTTATTTCTTCTTCTCAATGTGGAATGCATGCCTATGCTGATGCACGACGGCGGCTTGTCAGAACAATGTGAGTGAGTATGGTTTTACGCCGCTTTTAGCAATATTCCAGCAATACCACGGCGGGGGACACCACAAATGGGCTTCACACATTGTACCCATGTCGGGAATCGAACCCGGGTCTTCGGTGTGACGAGCGAACGCTTTAACCACTAGGCTACCCGACCGCCCCTTGTCAGAACAAGCCTTAAATACCCGATGAACCTTTTTTGAAACTTGTCTTCTATTATTAATGCTAGATTCACGCTGTGTAAATCAGACAGCAATATAACTGGAATAATGTGATCTTAAAAGTTTTTGTTCAAGCGTAACAACACGTTAAAATTGGAGTGAGTGGACAGTGTTGACACAAAACAGCTGATTCTTGATCGGCGACAGGTTTTCCCCCTTGAAACACGTCTTTAATATGGTTGTGGGTAATAAATAGAATAACCCACTCTGTACGAGTGACTTCGGAAAATATGTCACTGGTGATATTAATGTTTTAAGTTCCTCGTTAAAGCAACATTAATTTCACCGCTTGGGTAATTCTATAAGTATTTCATTTCTCCATAGGGTCGGTGGGGTAGCCCAGTGGTTAAAACGTTTGCTCGTCACGCTGAAGACCCGGGTTCGATTCCCCACACGGACACAATGTGTGAAGCCCATTTCTGTTGTCCCCTGACGCGATATATTCCTGGATGTAGGATGTTGTTCACTGGATTGTATGTAGACTAGCATTTGGCCCTAGAAATAATGCTATCTTATTTAATATCTACATTCAATAAATGAATATAAAAAAATATGAAATAAAATATAAATGGAGCCCAGAGGAATGCCTATTTTCAGGCTGAGGCAATCTAGACTTGAGTTGGGTTCATTTCTTGATTTATTCTCTCGGGTTTGGGAGACAAACTAGATTGTCACGGTCATATGTTGGAATATTGATGAGAGTCGCGTTAAACAACAAACAAACGGAACAACATTGCAGATTCGCAGGGTTGTGCTTTTATTAAGTTAGATTTGAATTGTTTTGGTCATTTCCCTCTGACATTTATACGCTGACTATTAATGTCATGTTGAATGTATTCTTGCATGGTAAATGAGATTACTCTCATGTTTGAAATGTAAAACGTTAGGCTTCATGGTTTTATACAGGTGTAAAAGGACCAGGGATCACGGCATATATGTATTTATTACTTGACAAGGTGTGCTGCTAGATGTGTCAAGATAGGACAAGATAGACTATCAAAGGCGTTGAGTGGCGAGGTCAGTTCACCAACATAAAGAGATAACGTGAAAAGCGGAAAGCGTTCAGATGTTCATAAATGCATCATGAATGTTGCAACTAGCGAAAAGTTCCCAGCGAAACAAATACTTTTCCACACACTGAATACCCCATTTCCTCTGTTAAGGGGGCGGTGGAGAAACCTGATGGTTCAAGCGTTCGCTCGACGCGCAGAAGGCCCCAGTACAATTTCTGGTGTTCCCTGACTTGATGTTCCTGGAATATTGCTGAATGTGGCGTAACAATACTCACTCCACTCCTCTATTAAAGAGGGGCTATTCTGAACAGTCTGGTACCGCCTTCCACTCAAGGTCTAGGGATTTTGTGGTTTGTTTTATTTATAATGTTTAGGCATTAACCCTGTGTAATTAATATTAAACTGCTTACTTGTGCAACCTATGCTTGTCATAGGAGACGTCTTAATGGATCGGAAGGTCAGACTCGAGGGCTTGGTTGATTGCGTGTCTTGATGTCAATCACTTGATTGTCTGGTCGAGACTCGATTATACGCAGACCGAAGCAATATAGATGGATTAGTAAGACAAACACACACACACACACGAAAAAACAACATAAAAACAACCACCAAACTACCTAAATCATAATTTTTTTATTTAATTATCAAAGACAAAGACATTTTTTATGACGCAATTCAAACTTGCTAAAACTGATATTGTGAATGGAAAGGAAGAGCCGTGTCTTTATAAAGATTGACGGTGGGGGTAGCCAGTGGTTTAAGCGTTCACTCGTCACGCCGAAGACCCGGATTCGATTCCCCGCATGGGTACAATGTGTGAATAAATACAAGAAAACATTGATGCAGAGCATCAAAGTTCCCCGCCATATGTGATGCCTCACAAACGCATAATTATGATGTTACTGAAAGGCATGATGGAGCATAATTATATTAACCACAAATAACACAACGCTGTTGTGGAAAAAAATATTATTTATTTTGAGTATTGGGCAATACAGTTGATACATTTGCATAGGGTAGGTCTATTTAAAAATAGTTTCTTGTTTAACGCCGGACTCAGCATTATTCCAGCCATATGACGGAGGTCTGTAAATAATCCAGTCTGGACCAGATCATCCAGTGATTGACACCAAAAGCATCGAACTACGCAATTGGAATATGATGTTATGCATCGACCAAATCTGCGAGCCTGACTACCCAATCCTGTTCGTCGCCTCTTACGGCAAGCATAGGTTGCTGAAGACCTATTCTTACCTGGGTCTTTATTTAAAAAGTAGATCGAAGGAAATGGAAGCAATTTCTGGCACAAATGTAAACATGTGGAAAAAGTATCAAAACTGCCAACAACATTGGCAGATGCACATACTCAAAAAATAGATCACATTCTTTTTACACTTAGCATTTGGTTATAATAATGTAAATGAAAATACTAAGGGCTCCATATGGCACAAAAAGTCATACTAGATAAGGTCTTTTTGTCACAACCACAGATGCACATACTCAAAATATTATCACGTAGTTGGAGAACATTTCAATACCGGGACTAATCAATAACGGAGATTCCTCGTCTCTTGTTTTACGTTTTTTGGTCAGTTTTTTTTGTATTTCTTTCTTTCAGAGAATAGTAATTGTGATCATGATGAGTTGAGTTACTTGGTTTTTTTCTATATACTGTTTTTTTATCCAGTGTCAGTAACTGTTGTGGAATGTGGTTTACTTGTAACAATGACTGGTTTGAGTTCATATGATGATGATTGATTGGTTTGTCGTTTAACGCCGCACTCAGCAATATCCGAGCTATATGACGGCGGTCTGTAAATAATCGAGTCTGGACCAGACAATCCAGTGCCTAATATCATGAGCATCGATCCACGCAATTGGGATCGACGCCTCTTACGACAAGCATAGTAGCCTGATATATATATACTGTTAAGATGTAACATGACAATTCATCCATACTACTAAACAGAAGTAAAACCGCTTGTCCATTCGGATCAATCTGACCAAGACCATTCCGCTGATGACAGTCAAATAATGCATACGAATCGAAATCCGTAAAAATTGCAATGGAGACATCATTAAAAGTTACCAAAAGTGACGGGGATATCAATATTGCTTTTTGAAATGATTCTATGAAATTTGTTTTCCCTGCTTCAATATTTGGAGCACCTGTGACGGAGCCATAAAACTGATCTGTTATGTAGACAATATCGCTTGAGGCAGTGGCTGCTGGGGACTGATTTTGACCTAAATACTCCTCATAGCCTTCGGTGTTAACTTTGTGGCTGTAGAGAGCTGTGCCTTCATCCAACAGATTATCGAGGTCAGTGGAACACGGTACAGACGCAAATATATTTGAGCTATGGGACACAAATTATATGAATGACCAGAGCTACGGCTGTACATTGAATTCCATTAAACGGTTGAAAAATACTACAGCTTTGATTCAAATTCGCTGACACACTACTCCGATTTTGCTTTGATCATGACTTTGCTACCAAACGTTTCACATGTGGTTATGTGCGGTGCACTGATTAAAAAACACACACGGGGGACTGGGTTAATTCAAAATACGGAATATAACTATTCCAAATATTTCCAGTGAACATGAGCATCCAAACAATCAAAAGTGTGGTATGTAGAATATGGAATTCAGCCATATTACATTTAAATTGAGATGTCGTCGTTGTTCATGAATAAGCATATTCAGAACATAATTTTTATTATGCTGTTATTTACGATCTCCGGAGCACAGTTCTTCTTTTGAATACACCGTGAAAATCAGAAAATTAGTCATTGAGGAAAAAAGGACATCGGATTACACATGAATGGTTTAATAATGTCAACTAATGACCAGAAACGGTCAGATGCATCAATTAACTACATAAAGACGATTTTGAAGTATCTCTTATTGCTGGAAAAGAATAGCATCAACATTCGACGCACATGATTTGTATGTTTTGTTTCCGTAAATGCGTGGCTTGAAATTTCAAATAAACCAACATGTCGACATACATGCCACAAAATTAACGTTTCCCGTATACTTCCCCGCCTTAAGGGCGGGGAAGAGTAAACCCTTTCCATATCCTTAAGAAATCTCTGCCAATGGCAAAGGCGATTGTACGATTCCGACTATATCATGAACATGTGTATATGAATCACTATCAAATAGTGATGATACAAGGTGTTCGCGAAAAGGTGAGCGTAACCTACCCCGCCAGTGGCGCCTGTTAGAAAGTCCATTTCTGGTTTCCCCTGTCGTGATATTGCTGGAATATTGCTACAAGCGGCGAAAAGCACACTACCTCACTCTCTGACTCACTCTTATAAACACTCACTCTTGTAAACAGATAAATAAGAATAAAGGACCATGCTTTAAAACGAACAAGTCTATAATATGGACCGAGCCTAAAAGTAGGCTAAAACTGATGAGGATATACAGTATTCGATTTTTCACTATGGCCTTTTAATTTGGTCAGTCAGCTGTTACAAATTACAATGACATGTCTCTGATGAAACAGCCGACCGGGAATTAATACATTTTTGTACATATTCTAGTAATCTATCCTGCTGCAGGTAAGGAAAGTGACGGGCGATAATACCAAACACCAAATTTCCCTTTAATAAAGGAAATAAGAAACGCCCGTTGCGCAAAAGGATTGAAATGAATGGTATTGACAGACAAGGTTCAACCGTCAGTTAACGCCCTTGCTTAGGTAAGATGAGTCACTACATCCATTGAATGGAGGTGAGAGTTAAACACAGCAGAATATATTATATTTTCTTTTGGAGGCCAACATAGTATCTCGCTTCTCGAATAATGAAGTGAGTGAATGTGTTTAACACCGCTGCTGTAACCCAACTATTGTGAACAGAAACGTAAGGCGTTGTATACAGGCGAGTACCCTCATACACAAGCTATTCACTTCACTTGGCGTGGCATCTAAGAAAAACACTTTCGGAATTGTTGAAGAAATGAAAATGCAATTTAGAATGGAAGTAGATAAATATGCTTCTGCCACTTTTCTGCCTCCTTTGAGCTACCTGTAGTGCCTTCTCAGCCTGCCTATAAATAGAGGGCTTGTACCTGCAGTGTTTCATTGTGGTTGCAAACGCTAAACAGCTCGAGCAGTTACTGCTGAACAACTGCTGGAGCAGTTACATAGAAACATAATTTTCTGGGTTTAGGCGACCATTGAGCGTCCTGGCCAGTTTTGATCGCTCAAAGGTGGCACAAAAGTCGCTGCCTGTGTAAAGGGGCCTAAATGTCAGTTCTTGAAAATCGTACACTCCAACAACTCATGCCATTAGTAAGATCGTATGGTTTGTAGATGTTGCTATAAGGAGAGAAAGAGAGCAAGTATGAATACGTATTTTTTAAGCGTTCGCTCGTCACACCCAACTTCGAATCCTTACATGAGTACAATGTGTGAACCTCATACCTTGTGTCCCCCGACGCGATATTGCTGGAATATTGCTAAAAGGGACGTAAATCCATTTTCACTCGCTCATTCGGGACAAACGGGATCATGATATTAGAATAGTGCTGCCTTCTTTAATGATAGGGTAATATGAAAAATATTGGCATAAGACAAAGCGTGCTTTCTGTACACAAATATTAATAATAAAATAACATAAACGAAGACATATCGATATGAATATTTCCTGAGTGGTTGTTCACTGAGTCTATGGAATAGATATTGATATGGTCACGGATTCTGTCGGCCCCGAAACGTGAGATCGTGTGGATCGAGTGAATTGAGTTCCAGTAAACATGGTTCATTGTATGTGATATCGATCTTCTTCATATATTAATTAATCTAATAAATAATAAAGTCATGTTGCTGCTGTCACCATCTTCCCCTCGTTTCTTGTTCTGCTATGTAGTTCAAGAGTATCTGAGCTTTCATCAAGTTGACGCCAATTCCGTAATGTGTCCCATCGAAGCTTGTTACTCCTTTGGTAAGATTAAATGTATCCAAAACGGGTACATCATGTTTCTTAAGAAGTCTCGTCATGGCTTTGTTAAATTCCAGAATGTTCTGTGGACCTTGGTAGCTGTGGTAAGGCGATTTGGTCAGACCAGGAGAGTGAATGTTTGACCACATCAACAACGGCCATTTTGATGTTCTATTTCTCAAAAGTGCCAAGGATGGTTTGATGTAGGTTGTTGCCAATGAGGAATTGGCGTTGTCGTGGATACCAATGCCTCCAATAATGATATGCCGGCGTCTGCTTACTGACAGTTTGACGTAACGCAGCATGCCTAGTTTCGTGTAAAAATGCGCATGACTGGCAAAGTTGACGTGAACGCTCCCGTTGCAAAGTGAGTGTCCTGGTTTAATGTCGATGTATTTCCGACATTCTTTAAAACCAAAAGCATTCATACCCGAACACTTCTTTAGGAATTCTGAAACATAATAACTGGATTCTTGAAATGTTGTCGACACAAATATACTCAAGGCGAAATGTTAACATGACCATGTTTTATCTAATGGGGAATACTGGTTTTGACAAATATTTATATATGAAAACAGCACTCTTTCTCTCGGAAGATTTAAAGTAAACAGGTGAGTGAGAGTACATGTGAATGAGTTAACAAAAATCGTCGCATTTGCAAAATTTCAGCAACACATGCTATGCTCACAAGTTATACATTATAAAGAGTGAGTGAGTGAGTGAGTTGGGTCTAACGCCGCTTTTAACAGTATTCCAGTTATATCGCGGCGTGTCAGCTTAATGTGGAAGGAAAGCCCGAAGTGATGCAGGTCTCAGACGTTTACCACTTCGGTGAAACCCACGAGCACGGGCATAGTACTGACACACCTAGAAACATAATCGGGGCGAATCGGGATTCGAACCCATAATCATAGGGTTCTGGCGTGCCCAAGGGACGCAACTCTGCACAGCGAATAACGGCGCCTTAGACGACTGGGCCACCCGTGCCCCCAACATTCATAAAGATCAAGTATAGCAAAATAGTATGGTACAACGGATTCAGTGAAAAACGAACTGGGCGAAACAGTTTAAAGTAAATCATAGATATATGTTTCAGTGGAACTGAATATTGCCACCTAGGCATTCTTAAGTTTCAAATCTTTCTTAATGCAAAAAAGCCTTTTTCTGAGTTTTACTAGTTTCTCATTGTTAGTTTTGGTTAAAGTTGCCGTGCATGGCACACAAGTGAGCACATGAGAAGCGGATTCATCATTAAAGAAATTCAATTTTACCTGTAGGCGTCTTCTTGCCTAAGGCTCCTTGAGTATTGTTGCCTCTTAGAATGAGAAGTATTGCTGAAAACAGGTGTCGTTGAAATGAGTCTCCTACAACTAGAATTGTTCCGTTTTTCAGTAAAGCACAAGCTTGTTCGGCAGTATACAATTTGGGTTGACATCTTTCATCCGACGCCTGCCATGTTGCAAACTCCGCATGGACCTGTTGGCGGATGTCGTAACAGTTCCGACATTGACATTGCGACACTGTCATTTTACGACAGTGGCCCTCGAAACAGGACCGCGTTTGTCGCCGATCGTAATGTTCCCGCATCTGCCGTCTTCTCGTGAAACGTTTTGGCCTCCTCTGACGACAGAAATGAAAGTGTCAACTTCTTTCTGTTCCGATTTAGTCAATGGCCGCCTCACCCAATGTCCAGCGGTCATACTTGACAACACATCCGGACATTTTTCTTTTCTGTTGCTCGTTTCAGACTGTGCGATGTGGTTTTGCCCATGGTCCAAACCGATGTGTTCTTTGAATGAGTGTGTGAATGAGTTGGGTTTTACGCCCTTCCGAATGAGACTGTCATTTACAACAATAAGTATCAAGGTAACTACGACAATAATCCCGATTGAAACGCATGTAGCAAAAAGCGCCTTCAGTTTGCGAATGATTGCCATGGAGGATCGTTCTCAGCGAACCAATAATACTTCGGTTATATCGTCATCTGAAAAAAAGTCAAACAGGGGTCATAGCTTTCTTCTAACACCAAATTCCTATTAGAAAATATATATCAATCAACCTATATCGGTAAACTAATCTGACTATTCTTAAAGTAAATTCAGTATAGCGAATGCACTAACTGACCGCCGCATACAAGATATTTTATGTTTCACATATGCGGCTAAACTCACGGTCACTCCAGCTGTGAGACAGTGGCTCATTATGAAAGTCTGCCCAGCCAGGCTGACACAAAGGCTCACTCTCTCTGAGAACCAGTGATCCCTGTGACGTGAAGTTACCTCACTAATCACTGATTAGTGAGGTAACTTCACGTCACAGGGACGGCACACATGGTCAGTCCGACTGTGATATAAGGGTCAGTTAGGCAATATAACAACCTACTTGAATAAATCCGTAAATAATGACACACCCACCCATGGTTACAGCCGATCAACGCCTGACACCTTGGATGTTGTGATCTTTAGTTATGTAACGTAATGAAGGCCTGAGTTGTATATATACGGCGGTCGGTGGTAGCAAACTTCACTCTGCTTCCACCAATAAACGCCACCAACTCAACAGCCTTCTCTGTCCTTCAAGGTAAGTCACTATTTACTTAACTGTTAACTTATTTTGTCAGCTACGATCTTAATACGTTAGATGTAGGTTAGATCTATTTCGACTATATCGTAGCGTTGTGAAAATTATCATTGACTTAATATCCAGACAATACTTCCTCTCGCGAACATATATTAGTATATTAGTATATTAGTATACTAGTTGCACGGCAACATCCCAATATGAGTATGTGTACCAATGTCAATAACTTGTACGTTCCTACATTCAGTGACACATACTCATAGCAATGATTTGCCTGCAACTTAGTAACATTGAAAACTGAGTCGGCCAACATGTATTTATATTGTCTCTTATAACAGAATATCCACGCGTGACTGTTTTTCTACTGTTTTCTACCAGACATATTTTCGCGTAATTAATGCCTTTTAATAACCATCCGTTAAACAAATATATTGTACATCTTTACAGTCATGTTATTACCGGTTGTATGCCGATTGTATTATTATGATCGTACGTGTTGTACACGTATTGAATTGTTATAATTACATGTATGCAATTAGATGAATGTGACTCAACCTCTTATATATATTATCGTGCCATTACAATTAAATGTACTTCTGTGTAAACTTCACTCTGCTTCCACCAATAAACGCCACCAACTCAACAGCCTTCTGTGTCCTTCAAGGTGATAGCCAGTCGTGACCGCTGCTACCGACTAATTCCCCCAATTAAGTAGTACACCCAAAAGACAAGCTACGTCACCCAAAAGACGCCCTACGTCAACTGGTGAGAGGATCCTTTCTTGGACCAGGTCAACGACTGGCAGAACACCGAAGAATCACAGAGAAGAGCTGCAAAAGTCAGGTGACAAACAAACCAATCGCCTCAAAACAAGTCAGGCACCAGTCAAATCAAACGCCTCAAAACAAGTCAGGCACCAGTCAAACCAAACGCCTCAAAACAAGTCAGGCACCAGTCAAACCAAACGCCTCAAAACAAGTCAGGCACCAGTCAAACCAAACGCCACCCAAAAGGCGCACTACGTCAACGGCATGGTCATTATGTGTTTATATCACGCGTCTTTGTACGTCCGTCAAAGCTTCGAAACATATCAATATAGCATATACCCATAATGCAGGTCAAATGCTACAATAAAATGGAAATTGTATTTTTAAAAAGTTCAAAATGGACTCTGCTACATCAGGTTTCAGCAAGAGCACACCCTTCTCGCCTACTCCATCTCTTCAAAGACGACTGGACACAGTGTCTGTCGAATGCAGTTCCTCATGTGTTCTCGTGTTTCTTCGTGTGAACAGTTGGTTAAACACACGCAAGAAGATCTACAAGATGCTGGATCAGAGACTCCAGAGTCTAAAACACTACAAAGTAGACACATTTAATGGATAACAACTTCTTTATTTACTGTAAAGGCGACGTTTCGGTATAGATCCTGAGGCCGTTGTTAAGCAAGCTGACTTATTTACATGACTAAATTTCAAAGGGTTTAGATGAAGGTAAGTCAGAGCTGTATTTCGTGATATAAGTAAAGCTTTTGATAAAGTTTGGCACAGAGGAATCATTCATATACTACAAAATTATAGTATTTGTGTAAAATAGTTGAGATGGTTTGATAGTGACTTAGAACATCGACACCAAAAGGTAGTTATAAAGCAATAGCTCAGATCTGAAGGCAGTCTTGGCAGGTTACCACAGAGCTCGGTCTTGGGACCATTATTGTATACTATTTATATCAATTATATTGTAGAAAGAATAAGGTGAGGTCAAATTTAACGTCGCGTCCAAGATTATTGCCCTTATATAGCGACGTGCATGTACGTGTGTGCGTGTGGCTGCTTGTACTAGTCCGGACTGATGCCGATTTAAAGTGCTAGCTCACTGAGATACCATGCCGCAGTTTAACATGAATACCCCAATCAGACACAGTATACTAACTCAGTGCCGACCAGTCCTTGTTTTAACCCCTTAATGCCGAGCACCAGACAGGGTAACAACAAGTACCATCTTGTAACGTCTTTTGGTATGACGCGGCCGGGGATCGAACCCCGGACCTTCCGCTCTCCGGGCGGACGCTCTACCGCACAAACACAATTAATGATATTAAACACAAAACAGTGTCGAATAACGAATTTCTGTACCAGAATTTCCATGTGAAATATGTGAGGTGGGTGCTGGAAAATCCAAAATGTCTGTTACTTACGGTATACGGTCTGATAGTAGGTCAGAAACAACCATCTTGAATTTTTACTGACGGTATACGGGCTCATGTGGGCCGGGGTCAGTAGTTCTGCTCTCTGATTGGTCAATCTCACTTTGAGGCATATTAATTTCACATCTGGTTCAGGATGGCAGACAGTCGATGTACAACACAATGGGGATTAACAATTTGGATTAGCATGTTATAAATAAAGGGGGCATTCACACGGTACAACTAGTTGTATACAATTTGTTGCATGCAACACATTGCATCGTGTGAACAGGCAAGTCGGTCCAACTTTTGACTTATGCAACTTGTTGGACGTGAGTTGTACGAAATAGGACAATCTCTATTTTCATGCGACAAGTTGAATGAACGCAGCCAATCAAGACGCGTATGAAAATCACGTGACATTTACACGTCAATTTGTAAACAAAAATGGCGACTGCGATTCACGTAGGTAACTTCTGCTTTTCGGTATCCTAAGTGTCACCACTCAATAAAGGAAATAAGAAAAGTAGATACGTAGAATAACACTCTATCAAATTATGTATTTTGACATTTGCATCGGTCTAATTCTCAAGGATAAACAGTTCATAGTGTTATTTGAAACGACAGGCTATGTGACTGTACACTGTACTGTAGACCAAGGTGAGATTAGGTCGATAATACGTTTCTAAAACTTAAAATACATCATACACACAAATACACGTCACAGTTTTAGATTCTGTGGGAAAGTATCTATTATGTGATGCCATTAACAACTATTTTAGGCAAATCATGTGTATCACAAACGACATATGAAAATAGTGTACAACGAAAATATTGCCATTTTCGCATTTTAAGCGACCTGTGTGAGTCCTCCTTTACCAATATTCACCATTTTAAATGTGATTATTTATACACATAACTTTAAGCTACATGAGATGTTCAATTACAAAATCATTTGGTGTCTGCTCTTTGTCGAAACACCAATCATCATTCCGAAAAAACTCCAATAACCCTATATTCGTTTTCGAAAGGAAAACTCTGGACCGAACCTCCATGTTGGATAGCGTTGCAAAATCACGGTTCTTTTCACGTCAGGCGAGATGCCGACACATCACATGTATTTCACACTCAGCTACGATACACACATCCCTGAATTCGTCATACCATTAAGAATCAATTGACACATTGTCTAAGTCACTAATACAAACGGTCCAACTGAAATCAACCGAAATATTCAAGTGTGAAACCAAACCCTGTGCTCTGAAACCTACCAGTGGGCCTTCTCATTTGAAAACGCAAACAAAGCAAACTTCCAGTTTTACTTAACATTTTTCTACTATGCCGTCGTCAATTTGTTGCATACATTAGCTCAGATTAATCGAATATGCATGGGTCGATAATCGTTGCAAGAATTGAGGAATTAATAATTAGAGTCTAGACACATTTGGAAAAATCCACAGAAATCGTTCCACTTGACGGCATTGCCTAAAAGTCGGGCCGGGCCGGGCCAAGACGGGCCAAAGTGTTACTGGCTAGTTATTTCATTATCGGCGATCATACCTACATATAATTGATGCAACATACACACATGACATTAATGATCAATCACGAAACAAAGAAGTGCACCATAAATAAGTAATTCGGAGTAAATCGCTTGAAAACCAGAAAGTGGAGCAGTGTGTAAGCGTCGCTGATCTTGGTAACATGTAAAAGAGCAATCGTTAAACGAAGTAAGGTTTGAAAGGTATCAAATACTTCTAGCTATCGTGATACAAATTTCC